CTCCTGTCTATATGAAAGTGACAAGCCAGTGTCCTCTTCGTAAGGTTGTTGTGAGGATCAAATGCATTTATTCAGGTAAGTGATTCGTTCAGCATCTTGCACAGAGTAAGCCCTAAACGTACATTAACTATATGTATATTGTAGCTTTTCTGGAGGAAAGTGGTGAAAGCTGAGCCTGAATTCAACTGAAAGCTACCAGCAAAGTTGTGGCAAAATGATTTAGTTGTGATCGTCCTAGGTCAGTGGCTTCCAAACTTGAGTGAGCATCAGAATCTCCATGGAGGGCTGATTTAAACACCTTGTGCTGGGTCCCACCCTCAGCTGAGTTTCTGATTTACTAGGTCTGGGGTGCAGCTTGAGAGTTTCCATGACAACAAAAAGATCACAGCTGATGCTTCTCATCCAAAAGCCACACTTGCAAAACCACTGTCTTAGTAAGTGAAGGGAGAGACCCTACAATTTTGGGAATTCAACCCAGGCCTTCGATCTCTCTATTACCTAAGTCTAACTTGAGAACACACATGTTAGTAAGACCAGCCTTACATGCACCCAGGTGAAATGGGCACCGTAGTCCTTCCCAGCTTGTAAAGGTGTTTTCTATTCTGGCCCTAGCTGTGTACAGGAAATCCACTAGTCCAAACTTATCTCATATATGAATACTCTTATAAGTCCTAGCCAATTTCTGAGTAACTTCTTTCACGAACACACAAGGGCTGCATAAAATTTTAAGACTTGCTGGGTTTCCAGTGGACCAACAGAAACCATCACCAACACAACAGTTGGCATGTACTGAGTGCTGTGTGCCATGCACTGTGCTATTCACTCTGCATACATTGGATCATCCAGTTCTCCCCACCACTGTGAAAGTCAGGCATTAGTACACTATGTCACAGAGTAGAAGGAAGTCTAGAAGGGTGACATATCCAAAGGCCCTGGCTGATGAATGACAGAAACCAGGATTACAGGCCAGTGACAAGTATAAAACCTGTGCTCTCAGCCTTTCATCCACGTGGCTCTTGCCTGCTCTCTTTTCCCCGGGAAAGATGTGCATATGTGATAGATCAGCAACTACAGTCCACCTACATTGATGCCCCCATATCTTCTCCTGGAGAAAAGTTTCCTGATAGTTGAACCATTCTTTAGAGCTTCTAGTCCCTTTGCCATACTATTCAGGGTCCTTTGTGCTCAAGGTAGTCACTGTCCTGAAAACTGAATAGGTGGGTGTGGTTATTCAGAGGAGAATTTAAACAATGGAGTTAAGCTACAACATTCAAGAGGCATTATCTTCTTTTTTTTCCTAAAGATTGGCACGTGAGCTAACAACTGTAGCCAATCTTCTTCATTGTTTTCTTTTCTCCTTCTCCCAAAAGCCCCCCAGTACATAGTTGTATGCTCTAGTTGTGATGCCTCTGGTTGTGCTATGTGGGACCCCATCTCATCATGGCCTGATGAGCGGTGCCATGTCCACACCCAGGATCGGAACCGGCGAAACCCTGGGCCACCGAAGTGGAGCGCACGAACTTAACCACTTGGCCACGGGGCCAGGCCTGGCATTATCTTCTTAAACGTATTCCTTATTATTTTCTACTGCTTATTCCTTCTCAACTATCAGTTAAAATAACTGATTTATTTGCGTATGTTTCTTTATATTCATTTATTCTTACTTCCATTCTTGTTTTGTTCCTCTCTTTCTGTTTCGTATATGTGGAAACTAAAGCTTAGAGAGAAAAATAGACTTGGATAGGGTCACTCAGAACCTAAATGAGCAAGGATTCAAACCCAGATATGTTAGACTCCACTATGAAATATGCTCCCAGATTCAAACCTGCCAAGAGCTTGCACAGCTCAAAAAGACAAACTTCTCATTAAGCTGAAAATGAAACTGCCTAAACTTCCTGTTCCACACCATATGGCTGAAGCCCAGCTGACAGGAAGCTCATTTCTACAACACACTAGGCTGATTTCACTGAGTAGGTTGATGCGAGATTTGTGGGTGGTCATTTTCTAATCTTTTTAGCATTAGTAGCAATAGTGGTATTTATTATGCTTCCTTTCTAGATTTTTACATAAAAAAGCAAATGTTCCTAATGATGGAGAGAGACAGGTTTTATCCTAAATCATTCTCTATGTGAAATATCACAAGCACAAGCAACAATAACAACAAAAATATCCACCTGCCTTCAAGTGATCAAAAACTGCAAGAATCTTCCTGCCCTCAGTCTCGGTAATGGTGGGGTGAGGTGGGGGCAAGTTCTTAAAAGATACCATCAGAGAGTTTTGTACACTAAGATTAAATCAAAGTGTTGGGACATCTAAAATTATTCTGTACCTTTGCAAAGTCAGATTTTAAAGCAGTGAGGTGACTCACAAAGCGCCACAGAACTAATGGAAGTGCCAGACACCATTTGTACAAAACGATCTTGGCAGGAGATACCACCACTTTTTCCCCTGGGCAATTATTTTAGAGCTGGTATAGCAAGTACTCTTGAACAAGGGATAACCTGAAGTTTTTGTGGGTTTTTTTTTCCCTCTCCAAACTAGAACTAAGGTGGAAAGTAGCATTTCTACAAATAATAGAGAAAAATATTAATTGTGAGAGTTGGCAAAGTTCTTGGAATTAACATATTTACATGCAGCTCTGTGCATTGAGGGTAGAGCCACAGGCAAGCATTTCAACATCAGTCTGACCACGTACAGGCACTTGATCTTGGCAAGTTTCATCATCTTTTCAAGCCTCTGTTTACTCATCTGAAAATGGGACAAATTTGAGGAGGCAGCAAAGTACAGTGCTTTAAAGTGAAGCAGTCTGCATTGAAAAAACCTGGCTGGGAATCCCGGCTTTTACCCTTTACTATGGCTCAGCACTTCCTAGGGCTCAGTTCTGTCATCTGCAAAATGGGGATGATAAAACTGGTGCCTACCTCATAAGGTGTTGGTGAGGTGTAAATGCAATAATGCATATAAAGCATGGTACCTGGACCATAGCAAGTGGTCATTAGACTTTTTTTTTCTTAAAGACTATCCACATAAGGGGTTTTAAAAATAAGTTCTAGGAGGTCTCCAAAGGACATAGAGGAGGAAAGAATGAAACTATACAGCTAAGACTCCAATCTCTGAACTCTCTCCTCCAAAGCCTCACCCATAACCCAGAGCAGTCTTGGTCTTTTATATATTCTACTTATTGGGGTTTGGTGTAAAATTCTATTTTTAAAAGTTTCTGTTGCTGAATTCAAAAAATTTCTGCTCTAGACAATTCTCATTTTACAAACAGAAAAATGCAACGTCCTGATAGACAAAGGGAATTGTTCTAGATCATGCCATAAGTGAGCGCCTGACCAGAGTTTAGATTGCCCCTGGCTCGCCGCCCCTGCAGCCTGTATTCTCACTTCCTTCGAGCCCCCTCAGCATGGTCACTTCCATCTTCTGACTCTGCTGAGCCTGATGCTGGTCACGATGAATCTGAAGCTTTGAAACTGATAGAAAGGAGCATAATGGGGCTAGTGAGAGTGATAGGGAAGTCAGGGTGGGAGAGAAGGCGAGGGTGACGAAATGTGTGTGTGTGTGTGTATGTGTGTGTTTGACTATGCCAGGCACTCAACGTCCACCAAGTTCTAGAGGCTGGTGGAATATCTAGATGAAGAAGATCTAGAACTCAGGCAAGACTCTAGGGCGGGGGATGGAGACCTAGGAGTCATCCAGTAAGGAAGTTAGATATGATCGTGTATTACACGACAGAGAAAGAGACAGCTAGACAGTTCAGACAAACTGACTGACTGACGGTGGAGGTGACAACCAGGAGGAGGACAGCAGTAATGGAGAAGAAAGAAGATGCAGAGTGCAATTAATGATGCAAAGAATAAATAATGATTTCAAGTAAAAATAACAATAATTTAAGATAACAGCTAGCACTTAGTGAACACTTTCTATTTTTTAGTCAACCTACTAACCACTTTACATAGATTATTTTGTTCAATCCTTCTGACAATCTTGGAATGTCAATACTTATATTACCTCCATTCTATAGATGAACAGACATAGGCACAGAGAGGTTAGATAACTTGCTTAAGGTCACATAGCTAGTGAAAGATAGAGATAGGGTTAAAATCTTAGTGGGTTAATTCTGGAGTCTGAGCTTTTAACTACCATGTTTCAGTGACTCTTAGGGAGCAAGAGAAGGAGAAGTCGTACTAGTATTGATTGGAGCAGTGGTCTGAGCAAGAGCAGCACCAGTGGTTACCACTGACTGAGCACTATTTTGTGCTAAGCACTATGACAAGTGCATATAACATGATCTCATTTAACCCTAGGAACAACTTGAGATGGTGGATGTTCTTAGCCTGACTGAGCAGAAAAGAAAAGTGGCTCAGGGATGTTGGTAACTTGCCCAAAGTGACACAGCTAGTAGGCATCAGAGCAGGGATTAAGAGCCAGATCAGCTCCAGCCCCAGGCCTTAAACCACCGTGTTAAATGGTTTCAGTGTACAGCCACAGAAGACTAATTTGCTATGCGCTCAAATTCAGTGATCCCAACTGTAGAACCACAGCTATTCCTGTAAATGGTTTTACAAACAAATCATAAGGCCCTCCCACCAGAGCTTCTAATTCAGTAAGTCATGGTTGGATTCATGAACCTAAACTTTTCAGAAGTTCCCTAGATGATTCTTAATTCACAACCAGGAATTAGGAACCTCTGTATCATATACACAAGTCTTGACTGCTTCCAGCAAGACTGCCAGTCTGTGAAGATAGGATGCTTTATTATACTTCTTGGCATGAGCCCACATCCCCGCCTGATGCTCAGTGTTGGCAGATGTGACACAAAGACTCATGAGAAGTTTTTACCAGGGGACCAAGCTTCAAGGTAGGGGGTGAGGGCTTCATCTGCCTTGATTTAAGAGAATACAGGTAATTCACCTAAAGCACTCTTCGACACAGTTTAATTTTTTCTCTAAAATGTACACAGTAGCATCAAACCAATTAAACGATTAAAGATTCCTTACCTAAAACTCTTAATCTCTCAGCTCCTACTACCACTTCATTGTTATCTGCAGAGAAGAGCAACTTTCCAGAAACTGTCTTTACTTCAAACTTTTTGCCATAAGCTTCTATGGCTTTTGGACCTAGAATGGAGAGAGAGAATACATTAACCTCATGCATTCAGTTACAAAGAGCTTTTTGTGTCTTTTTTTTTTAAAGATTTTATTTTTCCTTTTTCTCCCCAAAGCACCCCTGTACATAGTTGTGTATTTTTAGTTGTGGGTCCTTCTAGTTGTGGCATGTGGGATGACGCCTCAGCATGGCCTGATGAAGGGTGCCATGTCCGTGCCCAGGATTCGAACCGATGAAACCCTTGGCTGCTGGAATGGAGTGCGAGAACTCAACCACTCAGCCAGGGGGCCGGCAGAGCTTTTCATAGAACATATACATCTGACAAGATTATATTAGACTTTAATGTAAGTGGATTGTTTTTCATAAGTCAACCCTGAAAACCAGTCTCGTGACTTCAGCCATGTCTTGTCAATTCCTTTTAATCATATGCTTCTGGGCAATGATTTTAAAGGCCATCATGTCCTTCCTCCATACTAATGCTTGAATGAGATTTCCCTCAGCTAACTACCAAACTACTGTCAAATATCTACAAATTTTGACTGGACATATCAAGGCACGGAAAGCTCACCTTCTCTTGGAGCAACCAGCATATCTTTGGCCAGCCCTAACCGTTGGAAAGGGTGCCTTTAAATTCAGCTGAAATGTCTCACTCTGTAGCCTTGATCGACTGGCTGCATTTGATATCAGACAAGTCTATTTCCTCAGTATATAGATCATTTCCTGGCAGAAAAGGCTATAATATACTGTAATTAATTGCCTAGTAAGTTTTCGGATCTTTTACGCTAGAATTTCATTCAATAAAAAATAAATTTCAGGGGCCAGCCCCATGGCATAGTAGTTAAGTTCGGTGTGCTCCACTTCAGTGGCCTGGTTTCACAGGTTCGGATCCCAGGCATGGACCTATACCACTCGTCAGCCATTCTGTGGCAGCGACCCACATACAAAATAGAGGAAGACTGGCCAGATGTTAGCTTAGGGCTAATCTTCCTCAAGCAGAAAAAGAGAAATATTGGCAATAGATGTTAGCTCAGGGTGAATCTTCCTCAGCAAAAATAAAATCAAATAAAAAATAAAATAAACTTCAGAGGGCTTAGCATACGACAACAGATGCTGTTCTTGAAGGTGGGGCGATAGTGGTGGCATCTTCTGATGGAGACAGATATGAATTTAAACAGTTATTGATAAACAAACCAGAAAATCACACAGAGTTTCAGCTACTATAGCAAAAGTAAAACAGGTTAATGTGTTACAATTCCTAAAAAAAAAAAAAAAAAAGGAAAAAAAGACATTTTAGTCTATCTGAGCTGGAGCCACCTGAACACCTACAGTTCAGATGGTTCCCAAAAGATGGTCTGCATAAATGCACCAGAACAACCTTAGGGCGTAATCAACCTCACTGACCCTAGCTCAGATCAAAAGGAATCTACCTTTTGATCTGGAAATTCACATAGAAAAATTTTTGAGGATAGAAACCAGAAATCTTTCATTTTTCCCAAAACTGCCTAGGAGATTCTGATACAGAGTTTTTGTTTTTTTCTAGTTATTTTTCAAGACTGTGTAGTAATCAAAGGGCCTTCAATACCTTCCAGGTAAATACCACTGGGAACACACGTGTAGTTGAACAAGTTGGGTTTATTAATCATTGCAGTGAGGGAGAACGCACACCATGGGGCATCTCAGTAAGAAGAGAAGACTTACATGATTTGACCTTGTGTTAGGTTATTTTGGGCAGGCTTTATGGAAACGCGGCTTTGCTCTGGATTAGAGGCTGTTAATAAGTGGGAGTAATTTTATGACTGATATCCTAATAAATCTTATCCAGAAGAAGGGAAGACCAGAACAAAGCTAAAACTCTAATGGATAAAGAAACAGCAGTCACTCATATTATCCAGGATAGAGGCATGTTTGGTCATTTTTGTGCTTTAGATAAATGTTTCCATTTTTGTCTGTGTTCACACATGATCAGAGTTGTCTTTGTTTTTTGTTTTGTCTTGATCTTTCATGGCCACCAACTGGCCTTGTCTGGTGTTGATGTTCTGTGAAATTACTTATGTTCAAACAGGAGAACCCTGAGGCTCCGCTGATAGTGCCAGGCCAGCCCCCGGACATCTCGGGTTGCTTTCCTTTATGTTAAGCCTATCAGACTAAGAATCAGAAGACAAAAATTATGTCTCAACTCTCTCATTTTCTGGTAATGTGACTTTGGGCAAATCATTTGATCTTTCTGAACCTCATTTTCTGCACCTATAAAATTGTACTATCACCATTTATTCTATTTAACTCATAGGAAAGTTAAAAGGATCAAACTAAACTGTGTTTGTAGAAAGAAATTTGTAGGTGGCCAAGCTCTGTGAAATATAGGGGACTGCTCTTGTGATTATCATCATTCTTGTGATCATGACCACCACCATTTTTCTAATGCAATGGTCACAACACATTGAAAAGAATTCATGATGAGTACCTCTTAGTACACTTGCCCCATTCACATAATCATGTCAATTTGGTAGATCTGATCCTTTGCCTAGACATCCATATCAGCCCTCTGATGAAAAGAAGGACATTGGAAATGCTCCTTAACGAGCAGGGTATTCAAACAGCAGACAAGGTACAGAATTTCCAAACAGCACGGGACTGGACATTATCTTATTTGACTGTCTTCAGGCTACAGGTGAGAACAACAGTGGCAGCAAGGCCAAGGGCTCTTTCAAGGTCACCAAGTGAGCTAATGGCAGATCTGGGTCTGGAACTGAGATCTTAGATCTGTCCCATAGAAGAAAAAGGGTGTTTATTTGTCTAGAAAGGAGAAGGGGGCTGGAGCCAACAAACAAGGAGAAGCTATGAGAGGGCTTTTGGAGGATGAGGGGAAGTAAAAAGCTGGAGACAAGGACCAGAGAGAGATCTTGAAAGAACAGAGAGGTACAATGAGGGATTTGTATTAGCTTGTTCTGCAAGACCTAAGAGGCAGCTGTCTTCTTGGACACACCAAAACCTTCAGTAAATTCTGTAATACTTGTCAATGCTCTGGGCTTGTTACCATTTTTTAGGGGAGATACTGGGGATCTGGAGGTAAAGAAGTGCTAATGAATGAACGAATGAATGACCTTATGATACGCATAGGGGAGCATAGCTTGCCCACTCTGGATCCTGTCAGATGATAAACTGGCAGTATGACTGGGGATACAAATGCTTGGACTTTGCCTCTAAGGATCTGGGCAATTACAGGAGATATGACCTTGAGGAGTCAGTCAAGGACACCTGCCCGTGTATAAACTGAGTTTACTCTGAACTTACGAGTGGTGTGTGAGACAGACAGGAGAGTATACTGAAGAGACCGCAGCAATCAGGGAACACAAAACACAATTATCTTGCTTTTCAGGGCTTCTCAGAAAACAGTGGGATTTACCAAGGCCTAGAACCATTTGAGTGTATAAAGCTCAGTAATTGGGAGTTTTAGCCAAAAACCCAAGGAGGGATGGCCGGCTCAATGGTGCAGATGACTTGTCCTTTTGTCGATTTCACCTGGGGCTGCCAAACCTCCTTGGACGTGTGAAATCTTAAAAACGTGATTCTAGAGAGAAATGCAAATGCAGCTGGAGACTGCTCAGGAGGTCTCCTGGTGAACCCATTGTTCCTCCCTGGGATGGAAGAAAATCATTATTCTTAACCCGAAACTAATCTTCAGATAATCCCCCTGTGCGTGCAGCAGTATACGTGTGAAGTACCTCTTAATTAATTGCCTCAACAGAGAGAAAGACTGGAATCCACCAGGATGCACCAGTATTCTCCTAGTCATGCCACTGCCACCATTCTGGGAGCTGGAAAGCCTGGGGGCCATCCAGCCTAATTTATTTCCCCAACTCCCTGGATCCTGGGACTCTTCCCCACACTGGCAAGATGCTGTGGAAGACTACGCGACAACTTCCTCCTTGCAGGTCAGAGGGTTTCCCGTTCGGACCCACCACCGAGACGATACTAAATCAGCAGCAGGATGATCCAGTGTGATTGCAGCCTAGCCTGGGAACTTAAATACCATTTAAAGCATTGTTTCCTGCGAAAAGATTAACTGAATGGCTAATATTGGAACATCTTCTGGGCTTTTGAGACATTCTTTAGATAAGCAGGAGAATCTTGAGTCCTCAGAATTGCCTTAGCAAACCTGGCCACTTGGACAGCAGGGGTCATTGCTCTCCGGTAAGTACACCATCAAGTGTAACAGGCTTTATAAGATATTGTCTTCTGGAACTGCTCTATGCTTTCCCCCATGTGTGTAAATGTAAAAGGAGAACCCTCAAGGGAAACTTTAGGGGTGAGTGTCCATGTGTATATGTGCTTACAATTATATTTTGAACAATCTACTCTCCTCTGTAGAAATCCTCTTTTTATTTATTTATCTATTTATTTTATTTTTAATTGCAATAACATTGGATTATAACATTATATAGCTTTCGGATGCACATCGTAATATAGTCTGAATTCTGTGTAGATTACATCATGTTCACCACCCAAAAACTAATTATAGTCCATCCCCTCACATGTGAGCCTAATCACACCTTTTGCCCTAACCCCCTTCCACCATGGTAACCATCAATCCATTCTCCGTTGCTATGTGTTTGTTTGTCGTTGTTTTTATCTTCTACTTATGAGAGAGATCATATGGTATTGGACTTTCTCCCTCTGACTTATTTCACTCAGCACAATACCCTCAAGATCCATCCATGTTGTCACACAAGGCCAGATTTCATCATTTCTTATGGTTGAGTAGTATTCTATTGTGTATATATACCACATCTTCTTTATCTATTCATCCCCTGATGGGCACCTAGGTTGCTTCCAAGTCTTGGCTATTGTGTATAATGCTGCAGTGAACATAGGGGTGCAGGCATTTTTATGCCTTTGTGTTATCAAGTTCTTTGGATAAATACCCAGCAGTGGGATAGCTGGATCATATGGTAGATCTATTCTTAATTTTCTGACGCAACTCCATACTGCTTTCCGTAGTGGCTGCACCAGTTTGCACTCCCACCAGCAGTGTACAAGGGTTCCCATCTCTCCACATCATCTCCAACATTTGTTGTTTCCTGTCTTGTTAATTATAGCCATTCTGACCGGAGTGAGGTGATACCTCATTGTAGTTTTGATTTGCATTTCCCTGAGAGCTAATGACGTTGAGCATCATTTCATGTGCCTGTTGGCCATCCGTATATCTTCTTTGGAGAAATCTCTGTTTAGATCTTTTGCCCATTTTTTAATTGGGTTGTTGGTTTTCTTGTTGTTGAGCTGTACGGGTTCTTTGTATATTTTGGATATTAATCCCTTATCTGATATATGGTTTGCAAATATCTTCTCCCAATTGTTAGGTTGTTTTTTCGTTTTGTTGATGGTTTCCTTTTCTGTGCAGAAGTTTTCAGTTTGATGTAGTCCCATTTGTTCATTTTTCCTTTTGTTTGCCTTGCCTGGTCAGATAGGGTACTTGAAAATATGCTGCTAGGACTGATGTCAAAGAGCGTACTGCCTATGTTTTCCTCTAGGAGTTTCATGGTTTTGGGTCTTACATCCAAGTCTTTAATCGATTTTGAGTTGATTTTTGCACATGGTGTAAAGGAATGGTCTACTTTCATTCTTTTGCATGTGGCTGTCCAGTTTTCCCAACATCATTTATTGAAGAGACTCTCCTTTCTCCATTGTATGCTCTTGGCTCCCTTGTCGAATATTAGCTGTCCATAAATGTGTAGGTTTATTTCTGGGATCTTGATTCTGTTCCATTGATGTGTGTGTCTGTTTTTGTGCCAGTACTATGCTGGTTTGGTTACTATGGCTTTGTAGTATATTTTGAAATCAGGGAGTGAGATACCTCCAGCTTTGTTCTTTTTCTCAGGAATTCCTTTGGCTATTTGGGGTCTTTTGTTGTTCCATATAAATTTTAGGATTCTTTGTTCTATTTCTGTGAAAAATGTTCTTGGACCTTTGACAGGGATTGTGTTGAATCTGTAGATTGCTTTGGGAAGTATGGACATTTTAACGATGTTAATTCTTCCAATCCAAGAGCATGGAATATCTTTCCATTTCTTTGTGTCTTCTTCAGTTTCTTTCAACAATGCTTTATAGTTTTTGGTGTACAGGTATTTCACCTCTTTGGTTAAGTTTATTGCTAGGTATTTTATTCTTTTTCTTGCAATTGTAAATGGGATTGTATTCTTAATTTCTTTTTCTGCTACTTTGTTGTTAGTGTATAGAAACACAACCGATTTTTGTACATTGATTTTGTATCCCGTGACTTGACTGTATTCCTCTATTGTTTCTAAAAGTTTTTCAGTGAATTCTTTAGGGTTTTCTAGATATAAAATCATTTTGTCTGCAAAGAGTGACAGTTTCACTTCTTCTTTTCCAATGTGGATCCCTTTTATTTCTTTTTCTTGCCTGATTCTTCTGGCTAGGACTTCCAATACTATGTTAAATAAGAGTGCTGACAGTGGGCATCCTTATCTAGTTCCTGTTCTTAAAGGGGTAGCTTTCAGCTTTTCTCCATTGAGAATGATATTTGCTGTGGGTTTGTCATATACAGCCTTTATTACGTTGAGGTATTTTCCTTCTATACCCATTTTATTTAGAGTTTTTATCATAAATGGATGCTGTATCTTGTCAAATGTTTTCTCTTCATCTATTGAGATGATCATGTGATTTCTATTCTTCATTATGTTAATGTGCTGTATCTCATTGATAGATTTGCAGATGTTGAACCATCCCTGCACCCCTGGAATGAAACCCACTTGATCATGATGTATGATCTTTTTAATGTATTGTTGTATTTTGTTGAGGATTTTTGCCTCGATGTTCATCAGTGATATTGGCTTGTAATTTTCTTTTTTTCTGTTGTCCTTGTCTGGTTTTGGTATCAGGATAATGTTGACGTCGTAGAATGAGTTAGGAAGCCTATCCTCCTTTTCAATTTTTTGGAAGAGTTTGAGGAAGGTAGGTATTAAAGTCTTCTTTGAATGTTTGGTAGAATTCACCAGGGAAGCCATCTGGTCCTGGACTTTTATTGTTTGGGAGGTTTTTGATTGCTGTTTCAATCTCCATGTAGAAATCTTCTTGAAAGACTCCTGCTGGCTGGTGTTGAGATGGCTTCTTGCCCATCTCATTTTAATATTAGTTATCTTGTGCCTTACCTAAAGAGTTAGGGCTTGGTGTGTCAGCTCCCAAGAGACCTAACTTGGGCGGGGAGACAGACATAGGGATGAGGGAGGTGAGAGAGAGGAGAGAATGGAAAAGGGAAAGGAGAGAGAGAATGGGGAGGGAGGGGAAGGAGAAGGAAGAAAGAAGAAGGGGCAGAGAGCAAGAAGGTAGGGATAGGGAGAGAGGGAAGGAGAGAGAGAAAGGAAGGAGAGAGGGAAGGGAGAGGGAGACAAAGGGAGACGAAAAGAGGGAGAGAAAGGAGAGCAGTCAAGGGGAGAGACAGGGGGAGTTGGAAGAGAGAAGCAAAAGGAAAGGAGGAGGTGGGGATGGGGCAGAGGAGAAGAGAGAGAAGGAGGGGGAGAGAGAGATTGACTGACTGACTCTTTTGTTGAACAATAGTCATTTGGGCAGCACCAGCTTTATCAAAACAAAATCTCTCAAGTAAACCAAATCTCCCACTGCAAATAAATGGCAAATGAGCAGCAGGCTAAATAAGTTCCTTTTAAACGCAGGAATCTGGGAGCTGGAGGTTGGATTTATTTCCCTCCTGGAGGCAATTTTCACACATGCCGCTTAAATCATTGCTTACTGAAGCTGTTTATTTAATTATTTAGCATTGTTACTGTGGGCCAGATGTTACATAAGCAAGGCCGACAATCCAGCCGCATGCTGGAACAACATGTTTATGGATTACGGGCTCTGCCGTGCTGCGGTTCCTTCCACCCCTGAGTCCCTCCACTGATACAAGGTCCAAGCCACCCCTTGGCTGTGGTCTCCAGGCACTCGTATGCAGCACTCCTGCGGGGTGGAGGCAGTGGCCGGGGACGATTCTTTTTCTCCAGCGAGACTCTGGGTCCAAAGTCACTTGTTTCCCAGAGGTGTGTTTATTAGTGGGGCTCCAGATGTTTTAGTCACAGGAACATTTCAGGGCATTTGGGCAACTGGCTTCTCAAAATGTCCATCTGTACACTCCTCTCTCATCCCTGAAGCCACACAAATGGCATCTTCTGTCTGGAAGTGTAACAGTGCCAGCCATTCAGACACACACTCCTCTTCCCTTCTACTGTGGGGGTACCTTACAGCTCCTGTTTATTGCTGCTCATAACCTACAGAGGGGGCATTAATCAGACCACTCAACACTTTATCACAGCCATGATGCTCGTGCTCATCATTATAATCATTATTGTGAATAACCAATCCTTGTTTAAATTTCAGGAATAGGCAGCATGAAACCCAGTGGGTGCTTTCCACAGTTGTGAGGAGCAGATCTGCTAGATTGAAAGGAACCACACACACGTATTCAGTGGGGCTACATCTGCCTCTTGCAGTTGAGCTAGGTTCAAAGTTAGCACATACGGCAACTATGGCATGGATTCAAACACCCATTAAAAATCCTTTTTAGCACCCATAAAGTCCGGCATGCCTGGTTTTGTGTATACTCTGCTATCTCTCCAATAATCCAACACAGCCAGCATTTCCTCCAACACTGGAGCAGAGAGCTTTTCCATGGGAAACACCAGATGAAGCAGCTGGCTTGTGTTTAGGAGCCATGTTACATGAAAAATAGTTTATTTCCTCCCCTGAACAAGGATTATCGGATTTGCATAAGTTAAACGTGTGTACCTGATGCAACTCTACCCTTCAGTAGAATCAGGGAACACACGCTACATTCCCCTCCTCCCACTGTACAATGTGTTAGCAGACAGGCTTGTCTTTACTGCACGTGGTGTTTCATTCAACCTTCGAATCTACATTTTCTGAGTGTTTAGTGTGGACCAGGTGCTGCTAAGTTCTATCTTTCCTTACCTGTTATCAGCTGAGTTAGAACTTTAGTCTGGTCATTGAGAATGTTCACTGTAACATTTCTGGCAGATTTGAAGTAAAGGGCATTCCCCTGTAATAAGAAAATAAGAGAAATGCTTGAAAGTGGCAGATTTCTAAACAAAAAACCTGTAATTCCAACTCTCCAAGGGGCTGAACTGGTTTAAACCAAGATCTAATTGATGTGTCTTTATTTGAAAACTCCAAATGTTTAATGATCCCCACATATGTGATAATTAATTGGCATTCATCCAAAATGGATTTCTCCCGAAGAGACACATAAACAGACACAAGCAAAATGGATTTCACACACAGAAATATTATTGAATCAGAGATAAGTGGGACATAGAGCCCTTTAGATCTTACTGCAGATGTTAGTTAATCTTGGTACTTGGAATCATCAGGAATGACTGATAATCTCCTAATCCTACCCTGTCTAGTTTATGGTTTCTCCAAAGGAACCCTTCGGAGTCCCTAAGGGAGAGCATTAAGTTTACACAAACTTTCTGCCCCTGGGCAAGTCCACCAGCTGTGAGATCCAGGTGTTCCTTGGGAAGATTGACATCTTCTCCAGGCAGAGATGTTTGCCACACACGTGTACAGACCCAGGAGACCTGGCATCTCCAAGTAGGCCTTTGACTCCTCTTTTTTCTTGTCTCCAGATTTCTTTTCCTCTAGGCACTCTGTGCCTTCATTCTCCTCCCCCTTCAGCAAAAAGGACACCCCACTCCTTTTTTCACAATTTTCACATTGAGAATGACTCAGAACAGGGTTTGGCACATTTTTTCTGTAAAAAGCCTCATAGTAAATATTTTAGGCTTTGTGTGATGTATCGTCTTTGTGGTAACTACTCAAATCTGCTATTTTGGTGCAAAAACAGCCATAGACAGTACAGGGACAAATGAGTATGGCTGTATTCCAGTAAAACTTTATTCATGACAATGATATTTGAATTTCATATAATTTTAAACTTAAAATTTAATATAAACTTACTGTGTCATGAAATATTATGCTTCCTTTTTTTCCTCAATCATTTAAAAATATAAAAACTATCCTTACTTCACTGGTCACATGAGAATAGGCAGAGGGCCAGATTTAGCCCACAGGCCACAGTGTGCCAACACATGGCTAAGATATTCTCCCTTTCGTGGAGGAAACTAAAGCCATAAACTAAAGGATGAATCTCTGACAGAACATGTCAGTAATCAGATAGTTGTTATTAGAAAAAAGAATGTGGGTAGTCATTCTCATCTTTCCAAACCTTTGTTACCACACGACATATACCTGCCTGAAAATGTAATAACACCACTACGCAGGGTCCCAAATACAGAAAAATCATTGTCCTACGAGTTATGAGGAAACTGAAGATAGGCAAGTCTTATGTTGACATGGGGACAATGAGATGGCCCACGTATAATACCAGGCAGGGAACAGGAAGGGTGATTATGGAGCTGCAAACGAAGTGTGTGGAGAACTTTCCTGAAGGGTCAGACTGTTCATAGTTTGAGGCTGTGGAGTGGGAAGCAGAGGAGATGCTAATGCTTGAGCTGAGCCTTGAAAAGACTATAGATATGATTGTGCCAAGTTGGAATGGAAGAGGAGATCATGGAGGTAGGACGGTTTGGGGCTGCTCATCTAATGTCTTTTTCCTTCTAAAACTGGCAGGGCATGGGACCAGATCAGCGAGCCCAGCCTAGTACCTGCATATGGCAGAGTGGCAGGCCTGTGCTGACAGGCAGCCAACACCAAGGCCTGAGGTAGTTTTCACAAGCAGAGGAGAGGGGAGAATGGGGCCACCACCAAGGCATTTTACCATAGATTGATGGTCTAGAGTCATGGTCTCTCCCCCCCAAGGTGAACTGCTAAAATGGATGGACTCAGACCCATGACCCACTCAGGCCCTAAATACCCAGTTCACCTTGGATGAGAGCTGCTGTCCTAGTGTCAGGGGGAGAGATGATGACTTCTGCCACATCAGTGCACCCACTGCCTCCCTGTAATCCCACACAATGGTTTAAAGTTAAAATTTTACCTGATGAAAAAACTTGGTCTTTTTTTTTCAACTGGGTCAGGGAGGATGAAATACACTGAATCTAATATTGCTGTAGGTCTTTTTTTGGGTTTTTTTGGCCACTAGGAAACAAATATTAGCCTAAAATAGTTTCTTGGGCATTGTTTCTGGCAGTGCTTAACAGTTCTACTTAAAACTTAAAACTATTCAAGTAATGTGAGGATTCAGAACCTGGAACCTAGACAGGAGGTTATTTGTTTCTAGAAGTTGGTGTGCTGACATTTTTCTTTGTGTTTTCAGAAACGTGGGAGAGAGAAGGAGGACCTGAATCAGGGAACTGGATAAGCTCACTGCCACTGACCAGTGTGTGACCTTGAGCAAATCATTTAACTGTTCTGTGGTTCATTCTTTGCATTCTGCACCATCAACACGGACACCATCAGCAAACTCACGGCTGACATAACTGAGCCCTCACTATGTGCCACATATGCAGTAGAAACCCTGGTTTCTAAACCCCACTGTACCACTTGCTAGTGGGGTGACTTTAGGAAAATTACATAACTGTTCCAAGCTTCAGTTTCTTTATACGCAGGATGGTACAAATATTAGTTATTACCATATTATTAAAATACACCTATTATTGACATTATTAGATTCTACGTGTAATTAATACACACGGCCCAGTGCCAGGCACACAGTAAGTCCTCCACAGCTGTTAGGGTAAGGGCGGGGGAGGGAGAGGGAGAGAAGTGAGGAAGCCCTTCGTCTGCGTTACCGAGTCCTCACGACCCACCTGTGCTTTGAGTCAGGATTTTGTTCCATTTCCAACATTCTCTGTTTCCATATTTCAAAGGATCTCCCTATATGTGGCTGGCTCCCCATCATCTTTCAAATCCTAGTATCTTCATATGTCACCTGCCTACTCTTAATAATATTCAAATAATTCTATCATGGAAAAAAATCTCCAACAGCTTGGATCAAGTTTTATAGCAAGAGATATAATAAAGCCACCCACTCTTTTTTATTATCATGTCAAAATAGTATAATTTAGCATTAATTGTTCTAATAGGCTAACATCCTGGGAAATTGAGTCTTTGCTACATCAGGGTTTAAACAAAGAGCCTCGATCTAGCCTGGGACACATTGCTGTAATCCTCCCAAATACCTGATAACAGAAAGATTACCAGGAAAAAAGCACGAACCAGCTAACAAGCACTGAAGTGCCTCCCACGGCAGCTGGGTCAATGTGATTTCATTTAGCTCTCTGGCTCTGCTTACTGAGACTAAATCAGGAAATACCAGCCAAGCAAAGCATCCCTGGGGTCTCCGTGGTATTAGAAGAAGTAGGGGAAACACTCTCTTTCATGTCTGAGAAGCTCAATTCTGCCCTCTCAGCTTCTTCTCTTCCCCCTACCTCCCTCCCACTCACCACCGCAGTCTCTGGGTCTGGGAGGTTAATTTCTGCCACAGGAGATCTTGCTCTGGGGCCAATGACTTTCAGAAACTGACCTCAAGGCAACCATCCGAGGACAAAGGGCTTGCAGGGAACCACTAGGAGGCTCAGCTCTGTCTGGCAGAAAGAAGACTGGCAGAACTGTGGCTAATGATGAAGATCAGAGTTCTGGACCAGATCAGGTCAGTCTGTGGCCAACCAGCCCACAATTCTTCTGGACACAGGGTGAGGCTGTGTGGTAGATGAGGGAGGGAGGCAATGCATCATTTCTCCCACATTGGGTGAGAAGAACAGGTCCACATCAGAATTCTCCCCAAATAACAAAAGTCTGCAGAATTTTGACAGAGAAGAATCCCCATCACATGTGTTTCTCTAAAGCAGAACAGAATCAGACCTTTTCTTTCTTTGTTTCTTTTTTTTTTTAGGAAGATTAGCCCTGAGCTAACATCTGCCGCCAATCCTCCTCTGTTTGCTGAGGAAGACTGGCCCTGAGCTAACATCCGTGCCCATCTTCCTCTACTTTATATGTGGGACGCCTGCCACAGTGTGGGACGCCTTGCCAAGCAGTGTGTATGCAGGTTTGCACCCAGGATCCAAACAGGTGAACCCCAGGCCGATGAAGCGGAACATGAGCACTTAACTGCTGCGCCACTGGGACGGCCCAAATCAGACCTTTTCTTGATGACTCAAGACCACTGAAATGAACATTATTTGTTCCACAACATCCTCCAGGGGCTGCTGTATGCGTGTGGCTATTTGAACAGTAAATGCTCCATCATGCTGATATTTAAAAACTATCATATCTGATTTTTAAAAATGTATTATTTATTCTTATATCAAAACAGTCCATATAAATGTCAAATACTACAAAGCTTATATCAAAGACCAGGGGTTCATACCTCTCACCCCCATAAGAGCTTTCAACTTGCTAGGATGCTTCTTCAGGTATTTCCCTCCCTGTGGCCCAAAATCTGCTTCTATGCTACTCTTGATTTATCATCTTCAGCTCCTAGCCATTGACTTTCTGCAATAATACCTACTCTTCCACACCACTTTGGTTAAATCCATATTCAGAATCTACATTATTATGATTATGTGTATGTTGTCCACAGCTGAGCCAAGTAATGTTCTTTAACTAACATGTCCTTTTTCTTTCTTGTACATCTTTTTCCTTCTCCTAGAGTCAATAAATGCTCCATTAAAAAAAAAATGCTTTATTTTTTTTCCTCCTAATGTTCAATCCTTTTTCTTTAGGTTCTATTTTCCGGCAAATATCCTCAAATTTAAGTTCCAAACTTCATGCTGATTTTTTAACTTGTATTATCATACTTTTAATTTTCAAGAGCTTTTTCTTATTCTTTGAACTTTCCTTTTTATACCATCCTCTCCTTGTTTGATTGATGCCCTGTCCTCTCTGAGATGGTAATAAAAAAGCTGGTTGGAAGCTCTATAGGGTACAGTAGTGGGGATTTGGCTAATTCACTGGAGAACCTCCAAATGTCAATATCTGTGGGCAGTCAGTACCTCTGGGCTAGTTTCATCAAAGAGGAATTCTCTAACTCCTGCCAGGAAGGTGGTGGTGTAACTTTAGATGTGAGAGTCCTGAGTG